ATTGTAGGAAAAACCCACCCACACACACACACACACACACACACACACACACACACACACACACACACACACACACACACACACATAGAGAGAGGTGGTGAAGGATTGTGTTTGAAATCCTGAAGGCTTTAAGGAGCGATGACAAACACACACATTAAGGTTAGTGTGTGTGTTTGTGTGTATCAGGTGTGTGTCGACTGAGGTCAAAGGTTAGGTAAGCTTTAAAGTTGACAAAGCAAGATTATCTGTTTGCACAAGATGCAAAGCACTGAAAGCACACACCTAGATGTAAAGAATGTGACAAAAGCTGCATGTGACAGGACAAATCTTCATCTGATTAACTGGAGACAGGCTGTGTGTGAGTCCAACTGTAACACTGCTGCTCCTCCACTACACACCACAAACCACAGGATGAAAGTCATGTGCAGTCAGGTCAGCTTTACACAACCAGAAGAAGTGTTGTTTGGATTATCAATCACCAAAAAGCACTCCTCATTTGGATTACAGATTAGTTCTGATTGAAACAAATCTAATCTGGATCTAACTGGTGTGTTTTTTCCACTTTCATATGTCCTTATAAATATAGCTACTATCAGAGACAACGAAGAGCCAGAGTTTATATAAACAAAGACCAAGGAGTTCCTCTATGATGTCACTTCCTGTTTCACTACACCAAGTTAGAAAATAAAATGGCCACTTAAGGCTGAGTCACACTACAAGACTTTAAAGCAGTCGGCTGATTTTCAAAGACTGATAGAGACCACACGTGAGGATAGAACATCATGATTACACCAGGCTTGGTCCTACAGTGTGTGGTGTACAGACACACAACAAGAGACAACACAACCACACACCAAAAAATATTTCATTCATGATTCAGATGTCAGATTTTAAATCACGCGAGACTTCTTGAAATCTCACGAGACTTCAGATATCAGAGGAAAAATCTCACGTGAGCTCCAGAGAGACGTGAGTTCAGAGGAAATAAACATTTGAGACGATGAAGAAACAACGTTGATGGTTTGTGGACTATTTTTACCAGAGGAAAAACAACTCCAGGACTTTCTGCTGAGTCATGACAGGTTTTGTTTACGTCACCTCTCTTTCTGATTGGCTACACGTCTGAGAGCTCAGGTGAACACTACACACACTGTGATACCAGATCAACAAATCAAACATGTTGAATATCCCTGATTTGAGGTCGGAGCGGTCCTGACGTCCTTCTGATCTGACTAGATCACTCTTAAGTCACCACCCACAGTGGGAATATCTGCTCAGATTATCTTTAGAGCCGTCACCATAATCTGGACTTCCTTAAGATTATTGGAAGAGCCGTCACCATAATCTGGACTTCCTTAAGATTATTGGAAGGACAAAAATCAGCCTGATTTTCTTGTAGTGTGACGCTGGCCTTATGTGACTAAATGGGTAAAATCATGTGAAATGACTTAAATACATTAGGACATTTTCTTCCACTTTTTGTATTTAGATACTTTAAAGGATTTCTTTGTTGAAGATATTTGCTACGTTTATTTCTTCCTCAGCTCGTGCATCATGTTCATCAGAGCTGGTGATGAGTCATACAGTGTAAACAGTGTCGACAGTAAGTC